CCTTCTCCTGCCTGTCCCCTCACCTCCCCGTCCCGCTCTCCCACTCTATGCTTCACGATAATGCCACTGCCAGGGGCCGACCGAGGCGAGCCGAGGCGGCCGAGGACTAGCCGAGCCGAGCCGTGCCGAGTTTTAGTAACTGCCATATATACATTTTTTTCTGGGGGGACGGGGAAGGCAGAATTTTTCCTGAGGGACAGAATTTTTCCTGAGGGACAGATCTTCGACCAAAAATCCTCCTAAGCGCACCTCAGAGCCGTTATTTCAATTTTAAATAGTAAAGCACATTTTTCAACAAGATCAGTCCGCTTCCGTCATCACTAGCACCAAAAAAGAGCAATTTTTATCCCAAAGAAACGTTCTAAGCCTTTTTTCGTGCTGCATATGCTAAAGCATCCAATCCGCTTATTCATTTGAGAAGTATCCCCGAAATTTCACAAAAATTTACCTCTTCTGCTGTTGCTCACTTGACCCCTTACTGGATTCGGGAGTAATAGAAGCGCCAGAACCGCTCGTACCGGTAGGAGCATCAGCAGTGGCGCCGGCAACAGCAGCATCAGCTGAAGCCAGTGGCGCAACGTCAACCTCCATCTTCTCCTCTTTATTCGTCGCAGCCGTCGCCGTCGCCCCAGATTTCTCCCCCTTCTCTTTCGCTTCTTCTTTAAGTACTGCTGCCGCCATTGTGGCGCTCGATCGATCCAGCGTCGTGGATTTCTTTTTGTGCGTAACCGAAAGAACTGCAGTTTCAACCTGAACAGATCAAAACTTGTCACTGATACAACGATATGGGAAAAGTAGGTTTTACAAGGGAAAGAAGACAAACGATACTCAGAATCTAACACCTGATATATGTAACAATTGCTATCGCCAATAAAATTCGAAAATGAGGCAAGACAGATGAAAGAACTCAATTCAAGTACCTTCAGCAAAAAAAGAACTTCCTCTGTCTCTTCTTAATTTTGCGTTTTAACTGAATGGAAGAGCTGAACTTTACAGTTTGGTTCTTCAACTATGCAATTTTGACTGATACCGCATCTTTACTTGGTCAGCCTGCTACTGGTGATCTTTACTTTTGCTCCATCCCATGAAGGGATTAAAAGCTCAACAGTTCAAACTGTAGACTTTAGCAATTTCGAGACGTCCTTGATAGACGCTAATCATAAACACGCCGTCCTGGCACTACACTTACACCACAAAGAAGTACTTCATCCATAGAAGTTTTTTGTGACAGACAGCTTCTCTGGAATAATTTACCCTCTTTTTAATTCATTTCAACATTTCGGATCTGATCATTGATTCTTCGTGCTCGAATTTTGCGTCTGTTGTTAAATTTCAAAATCGTTTAACGGATTTAGCATCTCGCGACGCGCTTTTTTGCTGCGCAAATTCAATTTCTTGCACGTTACAGTCATTTATCAGGATGTACTAATATACACCACTAACGCTTGAAGTCAGAAATAAACTTCAGCCAAAATATTTAAATTTTTCCCTTAGCAAAGGCCAGAAACCTACACTAAAAAACACCCGATTTTTAAAATATTTTAGCGAATACACAAAAATAATCAAACCTTTTCGCTTTCTTCTTTTTTCTTTTCTTCCAACGGTGGTGGATAAGCGAACGTCGATGGCTTAGCATTGCAACGAAACTCTGTTTTTGGCATCTGAGAAAAAAAAATCAGTTATAGGACGAAGTGAACGTCAAAAAAATTCAGCACAGGATGCAGCATTGGTCAAAGCAAATAGAAAAGTTGTCAGCGGTTTAGATGGAAAATCAATCTATAATAAAATTACAGCTTATTCAAGTATTTCCAGTGGGGCAGAATCGCAACTAAATAGAAACAGAATAGAATGGACGGGCAATAAAAGCCCAAAGTGAAACTGTAATTCTAAGCTGGGCCGACGGGGAGGCTGAAATAAGCAAGCCGTATTTTGCGATCGTTAGTAAGGCGAAATAAGGGACCAAATAAACCAAGATTCAGAAAAG